TACTAAAAACTCTCTTATGGCTTTTTATCAGAAGTAAAGAATGTTATATTTTGTATTCAATTTTAATATGTGCTTCGGACATAGCGAACTGATCAATTTAATCGATTAATCAATCGGCCGATATTTACAGATGAACTATATGAAGAGCGAGGCAGATTAGTTGAGATGTTATGGAAACTGATTGAGGAGAATATTTGTAGAACTGCATATGTATATTCTTTAAAGTATTTATTTTTATGTTTACAAAAGTATTTTTTTATTTTTTATACAAAAGTATTGTAAAGAAAATTAATTAAAAATATATGTAAATATGATTTTATGAAGTCTTCTAGACCTAGAAACAATAACTTACTATGATTTTGCTTAGAAGGATCGATTAAGGTTTCAATTAATCCCAGCCCGGTCTCGCAATATAAGTAAATCGCCATTGGAAGGAAAATAATCGATTGTTGTCTGTCATATCCTCATAGACTACTATTCTGATCACTTTCAAAAAAGATCATTAATGATTCATTTATTTATTTTAGACAATTTGGTCAGACATTAAAAGTGTTCAGATACTCGAATAAGTACATTCCCTCACAGTTTCAAATTTCGTTCCTCTTAATTTATTTAATTTGATGATGTCTGACGTCGTTTTCAGCTCCTCTGCGCCCCAAATACACGCATTTAAATGTAAATTATTTGAGTGCCTTGCGCGAATTCCTTAGAACACGCGCCAAAATATCTTTTTGCACCCGAATCATATCAGGCCTGAAGCATCACTCGACTAGCAGATGTTTCTCGGGCCGCCTCTGTCTGCGGGCGAGCTCGAGTTCGAGTCTGAGTCTGGGGTCCCTTCGAGCTGCTGGCCACACAACCAAAATGCAAACGGCCAACTCGAAAGCCATCGATCAATTGCCAGCATGGACATTAGACATTAGCTTCTGGCTGGCGAAGGGACAGCGCGGATCCTCGCCACTTGATTTATGGCTCTGCAGTTCCATTGAAAGTTGGCTCAGCTTTCGATCCAGAGATCCCACTCACACACACACGCACACACAGAGAGAGATATTTGATCGAGCCGACAATAAATAACAAACTAACACAAAATGCTGCCTCTGCTCAATTTGTAGTTTTCAATGCTCGAAGGCGAAAAACAGCGGCTAATGAGCACCGCCCAGAGATGAGGCCCATCTCAGTGGCCCCTGGCTGACGGGCACCTGTGCCCACCCTTGGCTGCGCTGCTGCAACTGCTTCTGTTTCTACTCATGTCTGCAGTCGGTTACACAATAGCCTCAGCAGAGCTGGGGCGGGAGCTGCAGCTGGAGCGAAGGACGATGCCCGCATTGAGCGTGCCTCTGCTGGAGCTGGAATACGTTTGCCGGCTGCCTGATTTTTCAAGATTTTTAAGCACTGCTGCTGCGGCGGCTGTGCGGGCGCCATAGGCAGGCGCAGCGCATGCCAAAGAGTTGAGGTCGAGGTCATGTGTGGGTGGAGCGCACTGCTGGGCGGGTGGGGGTGGCGGGTGGCATTAGCCGCTTCAGTTGGAGCTTTTGTGTCGGTTGCCAACCGCAGAAATGCACTCTGAGTCGGCTGTTCGTTATAGTTTTTGTTGCTGTTGCCATGCGAAAAGCAATGCCAACTAATTGAATGTGCAAAACTCTCACACACATACACACACACACACACATACACACACACACACATACACACCCACACACACTCACACTCAGATGCAACAGCATTAATATCGCGTTATATGGCGCATTAAGGCGCTCATTTCAAATTGTTTTTTTTTTTTTGCCTCTCGCTTTGCTCTCGCCCACAGAGTCGGAAATCTAAAGCAAAGACCACGAGTGGGCGGCAGTGGGTGTGGCGCTCATGCTCATGATGATTTCTCTGTAGCGCCCTGCATTTGTATTGGTAATTACAATGTCCCACTGTGTGTGTATGTGTGTGTGTGTGTGTGTGCGTGTGAGTGAGTGACGTCTGTTTGCTGTCCCTTTGCCATGGGGTGGATTTTGCTCGCATTTTTTTCACATTTATTTTTTAGAATTTTTTCTGCTTGGCTGTCACTCCCTCTCGCTCGCACTCACGCCGACAGAGCGGGGGCAGCAGCAGCAGCAGGCCGACTCTTCCTCGTCCAACAGTTTTTTCTCTGTTTGCCTGCCTCGGAAACCGCCATTTTTTATGCGCGCTAACTACGCCAACCTCTCTGGCAGCCCTCTTGCGTCGCTGCCCGCCTCTCTCTCACTCTCTCTCATCATCGCTTCCGTCCCTCTCATTCCTTCGCAGCGACCAGCCCGCACTCTGACGCACTCGCACCCTCGCACAGAATTTGCGCATTAGAAAAAATGTGGGCTGTGTTTCTGCCGTCTGTAAAAAAAATGGGAGAAAAAAAGCGAAAGAGAAGTAACAGCAGATAAATAAAAAATGGCGGTTTCTGTTGATACAAAAAGTAGATAACAGTATTTTGTACATTTATTTGCCTGCCAACAGTAAACTGCGGCAAAAAAAGCAAACAAAAAATAAATTTATTAGCTCTACATCAGATATGCACAGGTCAAAGCTCATGTCGAGGAAAAATTTGTTAAGGTACAATTTTTAAATCTATCATCCGTCAAATTGTGTATTCATTTAAATCAATTTTTAAAACTAATCTAATTATCTAATCTCTGTTTTTTATTATTTGGGTGTACCCAAAACGCCATCTACAGTACGACAGTTGACTTTGCACAGTAAAGTGCCATCTAGTGCTTATGTTATAATCTATTGGCGCCACCTATGAGTCAGTGTTTGTAAGCGGAAAGCAGTTCGATACGCACGAAACGCATATCGATACTTACATCGATAGCAGCTTCAATTGCTTAAATATTTTCTAGGTAACTTAACTGGGCACACTATTGCTATTCTGGCAACAAAACAAGAAAATATTGGATATAGTTTAGACTCGCATTTAAGGGAAATTGTAAGTACTTATACAAACATCGCAAAATAATTGATTTTAAACAAAGATAACATCAGCGAATTGAGGCGCTCTGCGTGGAAACACAGCTTCCAACCAATTGCAACAACAACGCACGGCAGCATGCATATGAACAACATCAATAAAGGTGGATACGTGCCACCAGGCTACTATCCTCCAAACGCACCGCCCGCCGAGGGAGCTCCGTATGCACCGCCCGCAAGTGCTCCCTACGCACCACCTAATGCACCCTATCCCCCGGGTCCCCCACATCCACAGCCACAGCCTGTTAACTATGTAAGTTTTTGGGGGCGTTGTCAACTTTGGTATACATAATTGAGATATACTATATATGTATATACATATGTATGTATAGACAGATGCACAGACACATAGTCAGTCAATGACGTCAATTTTAGGTTTGCGTGTCCATTTGTGCTCTGATTCATAAGCGATAGCTAGGCAATTCGCACTACACAGAAATAGTGTCTCCAGTGCACTATAGGCGAGTTTCACTGTGTAAATAATCAGATATAATCATGATTATGAAATGGAATATTTAATATTTTACTGGAACCGCAATGCTTAGCAAGTTTTTAGTAGTTCCGCTAGTTAGTTAGTCATGATATAAATTTAAGTGCGATTTTTCGAACTTATTAGCCGTTTTTAGTATGTGAATACAATTGTTGTATATATTACCTGCCGTTTAGAGACTTCTCCATATATTAACATCATTAAATTTTTCAAATATTTCTGAATGATTCTAACTAATCATTAAAAAGACTTAATCAACCTAAACAAGTCCGTCATAATTAGTCCTCGCTCTCTACTAGTGGGCCGCCCTCGCCTACTCCCCTTGCTAAACCATTTCAAATATTATCCGCATCACAGCAATGCAAATCAATCCATCTAAGTATCATTGGTTATCCAACTAATCTTTATTCTCTTATTTTGCCCGATTCGAGCAACTCAGCGACTCTAAATACGATATCGTTCAGCTCCCATTACCTCATTCATGACATTTGCAAGATATACATACCACAAATCGTACAGGGTGATCCGGTATCGTAAATATTGGTATAACAAAGGCCATGCAGTATATACAAATTCTTATAAACATAGACATAATACTATATCAGATATACTATATCAGATAGCTTTAACAATATAATATACCTTATCAGAAAACATCATGCTAGAGTAAAGATAAGCTATGTAGGAATATGCTGAAAAATCGATATGAGTCTTTGCTTTGCAAAAATGATTCATGTATTGTAATTTACTAATGTATGTATTATATCTTTACCACTTTAACTATCGTATCTTATATCAACCCATATGTAAAAGACCTTTCTTTTATTTTCGCTGATCATATATTGTGTTTTATAAACATAAATTCGGTTACAGGGATTCACACCAGGTCCACCTCAAGGAGGTTACGCACCAGTTCCCCAAATGCCGGCTGGCGAACCCAATTACGGGGGTCAAGCTCCTTTTGGAGCTGGTGGTGGGGCTCCACCTTACGGCTATCCGCCTGGGCCCGCTGGTCCCCCGCAGCCATTTGGATACCCCCCAGGCCCAGCAGGTCCGCAGCAGCCAATCATAAGCCAGCCAGGCATGCCACCAGCTCAGCCACATCCAGGCATGGGACCAGGAGGACCAGCAGGTAGGATTCACCAATTGCTAAATAAACATAGGGCTTCGCACTTTACTTCAATCTACAGACGCATTTGCATGTGGTATATTTATAGGTTCGGTGCACAGCTCAAATAGCTCTGAACGAGTGCGATAGCTCAATAGGAATGGACTGAAGTCAATAAAGACAAGGGAACGCATTCAGACATAGCCCAGTTTTACATTCCCAATTCCAATTAGGGTCGCTGCACTGTGAAAGTGATAATAGCGAGTGCACAGCCTCGCGGCCGTCGCCACGCATCGCACGGCGTCAAGGTGGTTCAAGAGAGCGTGGCGGCAGACTACAAAGTTCTTTTCTATTAGCACCCGCTTCTTTGAATTGTCCCAGATGAGCTCTTGTCCAGATAAGCAAAGATAATATAGAACCGTTTCTGTCAGCTGAAAGATGTTGTTGTTGACAGACAAAGTGCGCTTACTCTCCGACTTGATAAAGACCCCGGCGCTTCCTCGTAGCTATATGCAACCCAAAGCCAACCCGCTGGCTCTTATCACGAAGCGCCGTTCGCCGTTCGCTTTAATTGAACCAATAAAATAATACAATGCGCTATTTAAGACACGTTCGGCTATGTTGACTGCGATGAATTTTGAAAGCCGACGGGCCGTCAACTGTCAACTTGTGGGCCTCTGTCAGGCAGACGTTCAGTTCAGCTCGGTGCAGCATCGAGAACAGTCGCAACAACCTGAATATTGATTAGTGAGTGCGATGTCAGTGCCAAATACCGTAGCAGCCGCCACTGCTCCAGCATCCAGTCCCAATTACCTGTCCACACTGGATCTGACTAAAAACGAGTCTGGTGACCAAAGGGACGCCACGAGTGGCGGGGCCAGCAGTGGCTCGAAAGTGCTGCGGTTCATTTGGCACTCACTGTACAGCCAGTACAACTTCTTCTGCACAAGGTCCAAGACGCTTAAGCAGCTAGTCTGCCGTGAGGCCAATAAGCCCTTGCCCAAAAAGTTTCGCCACACAATGAGGCTGAACAAGTCGGCTAAGCGAAAGGGCTACGAGTTCTATATTAGCGACGAGGACAGGAGGTGAGCCAAATCAAAGCGTTTAGCTTAAGCTTTCCTTTATTCGTACTTCAAGTGTGACAGGCCTGTCAAGGCTAAATCAGTTCAGTGCGCTATATCTTATCGCGCAGATTGCAAATCTGCCGAGGTAGCTGTAACACAGAAAACAATTATATTATAATAGACTCGTCGTGATGAAATATCATCTGCGTAAATATTACCTCTAACGACACAATGAGATTAGATATAAAAAGTCATTGTAGTGGCATAAAAAGCACAATAAACCGCCCAGGGTCGTGGTCTCTCCATTGTAATGCCTTCAATTAGGCTTGTTCTTGATGACGTTGGGCAATTGAAACGATGACAGCGGCATTGACCAATTGACACGCTTTTGTGGGCGGTGGGGGCTCGGGGCGTGCATCCCACACATGTTGACGTGATGATATGATTGATGTGCCTTTTTACTCATCTTTTCATTTTACCTTCTTTCATTTCGCAACAGGCGACTGGATGAGTATACCCTCAGGCATTCCGAATTGTCCGCGCGGATTGGAGTACCTTACGAGTATCGACCAACTTTTAGTTAAACAGAAGGTGGAGCTGCTTGAGGCTTTCACTGGCTTCGAGACCAATAACAAGTTCTCAATCAAAAACGCACTCGGCCAGAAGGTCTACTACGCGGTGGAGGACAATGACTGCTGCACACGCAACATGTGTGGTCCTGCACGGCCCTTCGATATGAAAATTTTCGACAATTTCCAGCAAGAGGTCATTCACCTGCATCGTCCATTGGCCTGCTCAGCTTGCTGCTTTCCCTGCTGCCTACAGACAATGGAAGTCTCCGCACCGCCTGGCAATGTTATTGGATCGATAGAGCAGGAGTGGTCCATTTGCTCTCCGTCGTTCCGCATTTTAAATCACCTTGGCGATACGGTGCTTCGCATTGAGGGTCCATTCTGCACGTTCTCGCTCTGTGGCGACGTCGAGTTCAATGCAAGTGTTTGACACCTGATAGCTAAAAGACTTGTTAATAATTATATTTTCAATACAGATTGTCTCGCTAACTGGAGCGAAGGTGGGAAAAATATCCAAGCAGTGGTCAGGTCTGGCACGCGAAATCTTTACGGACGCCGACTTCTTTGGCATCACTTTCCCACTGGATTTGGATGTACGCATGAAAGCCGTGCTGCTGGGCGCCACTTTCCTCATTGTAAGCAAGAGCTTTTGTTATTTAATCCCACAAATAGATATTAAATGACCCAGAGTCCAGAGCTTGTCTAAATCAAAAGTTGATATATTGCGGCAGTTGTCGATAGCAGAAGTCCCAACGAAGAGTCAACTTATTTACTGATTTCTGTTAAATGATTTCTGATTTCACCTATTCTCTCTTCTTTCAGGATGCCATGTTCTTTGAAAAGTCTGGCAACCGCGAGGGGGATACTCCTGGAATGTTCTAGCTGTTTGTAAATTTTTGTACTATAGACGTGACCCCAATGTAGTGTGACAATGATTATCGAAACCCTGTGAACTATCGCATACTAGTCCGCTATGGCCAAAGCAAACGCATTTTTCAGTCGCCCAAATCACATTGAATTGATTTCAACAAGTTTCGCTATAAGCGATTTAAAAACTCTTGAATGTTTTCGTTATACTCAGGATACATTTTGAATGTAATTCATTTCAATTTCTGTTTTGTATTTATTAGATCACACTGTTATTGGGTTGTGTATTATGATATTTATATATATTAATTATTATTTTTATGCAAACAAACAAAATATATTCATATATATGTATATATATGTATGTATATGTATATAATGTATCGAAAAGAGAATAAATATGTTGAGGGAAAATCTGAAGAGAATAGGTACATATATAATTTTGTGTATTTAACGACTAATCGCCGTCTTAATATTCATTTAATAATGAATAATAAATATACTAAAAAGAATGGAAAATCACAAAATCAAAACAAAATCAAAAACAAATCTAGACAGGGTGTAAAAGGTACTTTAACTATTTACGTGTCTTCATATATTTAATATAAACACAAATTATATGTTTATAAATATTTAGTGAATTAAATTTATATTTATATTAATATTGCAGAGTGTTTAAAGTGAATGGTTTGAATATACATATTTATGTGCTCTGAGGAAGTACCTATCCTTGATTGTTATATGAACTTAGCAAATAAATATATGTATATATATATATTATGTGCACAGCGAGGTCGATACCTGTACATTTTATATTTATTTAAATGAATTTTAAATCAGCTTTAAAATAAAAGATTCGAATAGTATGAATTGCTTAAAAAAAAAACACACTAATTATTTTATTTATGAACACGCCAAACTAAATGAGGGTGAAGCTATATATGGAAATCGGTTTGGGGCTTCATTAATTTTAGCCAAGTGAAAATAAACAGATTTCTGGGAGCTTCATTCAGGTCATGCCTAACATTTGGCATAAGTATTAGACTTTGTACAAATGAATTTGAAAACAATCTCAGAAGCCGTAGGAGAGAAACTTGAAGGCAAAGTTTCCATATGTTAAATATGAGTAATATTGATTAATTAATACATTAAAAAAAAAAGCAGCCAAGAGGAAACATAAATATTTTTGTATTAATGATTAAAAGCAAACTCACAATAAGACTAACTGAAGAATCAACCTCAGGCAATTGGGGTCTACAGCTTAATCATATATATGTATGTGTCATATAATTTTTTCTATACAAATAAATTTTGGAACAATACATGAAATAAATTCGATTTACTTGACAATGCGATTCCTCTTTAATAGTTCACCAGGGTCGCGCCTAGAAATAAAATTAATTAGAGAGCGACTTATTTAGTTGTAGTTGAGATGTTGCCGCCATTGATTCCAGCTGTAGTCCTACTCGCGTTCTGTGAGCTGCAGACAAAAGGAGTACAGGTATGCGAATATAGTGTACATCAAAACTATGTCTGAAAACGTTGAGCAGTTGAAGAGGATTGGCAAAGCGTGAATGTTGTCAGCGAGAACAATGGCATTGAAGGTGATAAAAGTCTCCTTTCCAAGCTATCCAAACTGCTTGAATTGTATCTGTCACAGTCTGGTGGCTTGACGTTGGCTAGGAATGGGTTCAACTTAATTTATCCCACTGTCGGCCTGAGGAGCTGCGGGGCAAGCACTTTGGGAAGAACGCGACCTAAGTCAGCTTGGATGTCAGCCACAACGACTTGTTGCCCATCGACTGCTCTCTGAAGAGGCAGTGGCCCAATCTCGTTTACGCCAACTTCTCAAGCAATTCAATAGCCCGTGTGCCGGAGTTTGATGCCTTCAAGAATTTCAAGCACTTCACACTCTTGGATCTACTCACCAACGAACAGGAGCACATTAGGAGCACGATTGGCTCGAATGCCAACCTGTGGTACTTTGCCATTAGCAACAGCAATGTTGGAGGTGAAAGCTAAGACGTCTTTAAATTCAGACACTTTCAAGTCCTTCCCCCTCTTTTTAGTTTCCGTGGTGTCACTTTCGCTTGCACAGCAACTGACTTGAGGTTAAGGAAAGGGGGTGATTTGGCCCAGCTGCGAGTGCTAAACTATCTATGTACTATCTATGGCCTTGCACCTGATGTTGATGCTTTGATGTAATCGCTCGACTACAGTTAAAATAATGTGAGGGTTCTGGAGGATTATTATTAACTCACGGCAACTGGCAACTGGGCCTCTTCTTTGTTTTCTCCATTTGAGCAACAATGATATTGAACAAGTGCACCCGCTGGTTGTCAACTCCATGCCCTTTCTGGAGGAGCTACGATTGAGCCGCAACAAGGTGAGTGCACGTCAGGTCCACTGCGCTAACTGCGGGTGTTGCTAAGCTACTTTGAGAAGCTACCCGATCTGGAAATGAATAACAATCGCTCGACCTTTCTGCCTGCTGCCGCTGCTGCATCAGACTCAAGGGTAATCCCTGGCAGAGCCTGGGCCTGGAGAAACTATGCAACGACGCAAGCCTGGCATGAAACAATGCGTGAGGGAGCGGCCGAGAGCTACCAGCACGAGCTAAGGTGGCAATGGAGCAATAAATCAATAGCACTAAATGCTAGTGGAGTCGCCTAATGGGTGGGCTAGATGAGCGGAGCCGAGTGGGCAGTGGGTGGCTGGCTTTCGTAAATCACGGACAAATGAATGACCATCAGGCGCAAAAGTTTTGCAAGCCAAAGTATTTGGCCAACTGTCGTAAAACAATAAAACAAAAAACAAAACCGGCCGCAGAGCACAGCACAAATATAGAACAGCAGAGCAGCATTCCATGGGCTATGGCGCTGGCAGGGGGCAGCGGTGTATGGAGGAGCACAGATTTTCAAATACTTAACACCACTTAAGCGAACAGTTGGACGATGACAGCGACAAGTGGATTGAGGGTTGGCGGTGGGCGACGGTGCGACTGGGCGTGGGCGGGGCACACATTGATTGTTGAGCGTAATTTAACGTAAGAATTTTTATTAAAATTTTCCGATTGCGTACAAAGTTTGTCGCTCGCAATGAGCAGCTGGCTGTCCATGACCTAATGAATAAATGATTGATAATGAATGAATGCGAGTGTGTGTGAGTGAGTGCAAGGGAGGATAGCTTCCGGTGCGAAAAGTGAGCTGTGGGAATTTTTAGTGTATTTTGCAGATTGCATAAATGAAGGAGCGAGTGGAGCAGCCATCCTGATGAATAATGAATACTAAGTCAGCCAAGTTGCGCAGAAAAGTTGCATATTAAATGTGCTGAAATCTGAAGACGGTTTAGTGTTGAGTGTGCACTGAGTGTTGACTGAGCGTCTATTTGTCTTGGAACGTTGTCAATTGTCAATGCGGGCGATTCATTTCGAGCAAGTTTTTCCAATTGCTCAGCCCAGTTTTCGAATGGCCAATTATTCTGAATGTTGTTCTAAGAAGATGTTTGCCTCTATGTACATAAATAACAGGTCACATACACACGCACACACGCACACGCACGTTTACATTGACTGCTTTATGTTGTGCGTCGGCAAATAAGTAGTTCAAGTTTTGCGTATTCACGCAACTGCATTGAAATCGCGCACAGGTATTCGAGGCATTCACACGCACAGGTGACAAAAGGCAGCAGCGCCGACAGCGAGCACAGAGAAAGATGTCAGCGCAGTTGGTGCCAGGGCAAGGATTCAAGTCGAGCAGGGCGCACAGCGAGTGCGACAATTATAGGAGCTGCAGGAGCAGTGGGAGCTCAAAGAATATGGAGCCTGGCAGCTGGCGCCGTTGCCCAACAGCGACAATAAAAGTTTTGCTTGCGGACCGAGAGGGAAATTACTTGCGCCGGCTATGTGAACTAATTAAATTACTTTTATTTCGCAGGTTAACATTTTCAAACGCGCATGTCGATGTTGGGTCGGTCAAACCATTTCCGTTTGAGCCTACAACTTTTTAAAAGTTGCGTCAATTTTCTCATGAGTCTTGTGAACGACAGCGAGGCGACGGTGCCTAGGAACCGGCCTCAGTCCCTTATTATTATTTTTCTAAGCAAGCCTAGTTTCAAATTTTGTTTGAATAATTTGATAGCGCACAGCGGCAGCCAGTGTGGGTGGCTGAGTGGACGGGTGGCTGGGCGATTGGGTAGCAGTGCGGGGAGCAACAAGTGTGCCTTCAAGGGCGTGGCAAATATTGTACCCTCATCAAAACGTTGCGTGCTGGCAAAGACAACACGGCCTTCAATTGGCTGACTAACGTTCTGTCACTGCCCAAGTACAGAGACTTTCGGCCCACCTGGCGTATGCGTGACATTATGAATTTTTACCTTTTTGGCTGTCTGCATTTGATGTGTGCAGCAATTGTTTGCGAGCTGACTTTAAGAGGCTCCCGCGTGGCTACTCTCATATTTCAGTCAATTTCGCTCTGAGCTAATTGCATTTTTGTGGCCTAAATAGCCACACATAATTAGCAAACAAAATATTTGTAAAACATTTTATCATTTTTACACAATTAGTACGGCAATTGTATATATTTTAATGCAGCCCATTCGCCATGAAATGCCAACAAAAAATCAAAAATTAGCGCAAACTGTGAAATGGCAGCGGCGGCGGCCGGATGTGGTGCGGACTGCACTTCGAATTACAAAATTTTGCGGCTCTGTGGTTCGCTGAATTTATAATTATGCACAGTTGCTGTTTTCTGTGTGTTGCATAATTCGATTTACACGCAAACTTTTCAGCTTAATTTCACGCCGAGTTAAGAGTTGCGCCTGACTGCAAATTCGCAGGCAACTTTTCGGCTAGTTCTATTAGTCATTTTATTGTGTTGCTGCATCTGCTGCATAGAACTTTTCTTGGCATGTACATAAATGTATACATATTCAAATTTCATATTGTTCTTCCCCATCACGAGACTCCAGGCACCCTCATTATCGTTCTCTGCTAAAATAAGTCTTCTCTATAATAAGAAGTATAAAGGTTAAAGTACCCTAAGTTCATTGGAAGTTCATATACAATACTCATTATTATAGATTATAATGAATATAATATTAAAACTAACTTAAAAATGAAATGTATAATCCCTTCTGGCAAGCCTTAAACGAGTTAACAAATTTAGATAAATACTATCGATAGATATCGATAAAATAATTACGCTTTTTTAACATTATTTGCATCCAGTAAAAGTACTATAGGGCGCCTGTGATGAATTCACAGAATTTGTATATTTTGAGTTTTGAATTCATTCTCCATTTCGCAAGTAATTTGCTTAACTTATATGTAGAACTTTTAATCATACGCGCCTCAAAATTGATTAACAATGTCTGCCTATAAGGAATAATTTGTTGAATCAGTCATTCAAGAAATAATTTCCCAAAATAAAGCAGTCAACCAAAAATTTCCCTTAATATAGTCCACACTGTAGTCCCTGCGTGAACTACATGTGTATGTGTAAGTGTGTGTGTAAGTGTTTGTGTGTGCGTGTGCCTGTGCGTATGTGTGTGTGTTGTGAGGAGCAATATAGGTATGCACGTATTAATGTATATGAACGTACGTATT